GCGCGCACCACCACTGATCTATATTAGTGGAGCGCACCGCCACTGATCTATATTAGTGGAGCGCACCGCCACTGATCTATATTAGTGGAGCGCACCGCCACTGATCTATATTAGTGGAGCGCACCGCCACTCTTATACCAAAAGCGCTTGCACCACCACTGATCTATATTAGTGGAGCGCACAAGCCGCGCTCAGTCTCAAACAGCTTGTGAGCCACAAATACCAAAATGAGTGGCTAACTGCGCTAAAACGGTCAAATATATAAAAAATTATGTCAAAATGCCCATCTTGGCGAGTATCCAGTTGAACACAGTCAGTTTTGGAACGTTAAATAACTTGAAAAAGAGTATGTTGTGTAACAGTATATTGGGTCCGTGGATAAACTCTTAAAGCGACCGCAGTCCAATATTCCTGCTGCTGTCTGTCATGTTAATCAAAGAACAAAAGACAAAGAAAATCATTTTCTGCTCTTGACTGAATACGTTTTATAACTTTAATGGTAAGCATTAATCTGTATTTAATTTTTACAATGAAGACTACAGAAATTAAAGTAATCACATGTAAAATAAAACTGGATGTGTTATTTTACATTTGATTACTTTAATTTCTGTAGTATTTCTTACCTGAATAAAAACTTACTTAACCTGAAAAACTTAGTTTCATAGCTCTCTTTATTCTATTGCATTTATTTGTGCTGTTGTTTGCCATTTTTTTATTTGTTCTTATTTTATTACTGACTTTTTACTTGTGTTTTTTTAAATTAAATTCTTCTTTGCATTGAAGAAAAGTAGATTTTTGTTTGTATATGCTGTCAATTATAGTTCTTAGAAAGAAAATCGGAATCGGCAAAAATCAGTATCGGCGGCAGATTACACTAACAAAAAAAAATCGGAAATCGGAATCGGCCAAGAAAATTGCAATCGGTGCATCTCTAGTCATATTTATACTTTATTTTATTTCAGCTTTATTTCAATTACCAAACCCATTTTTTAATAGTCTTACATGTAGTTAAGAATAACAACACTGAATCACATTGCTGCTGCGTCTTCAATTTAACCCAGGTCTTGGCGGCGGCTTCGGCTACATTGTGGGTGGCATTAACTGGGACAAAACTGAGTTCGGAAGGTCGATAGGTGGCCAGCTCCGGGTCATATACCTGTTCACCAGCATCACCCTCGCCGCCACCACGGCCATGACCCTCACCAGTATCCCAGAGCGACTTTTACCCCAGTCCCAGCCTCAAACCAGAAGCACCCGCAACCTCAAGAGCCCCAATCTGCCTCTGCCGCCCTCCCCACCTCCTCCTCCCGGAGCCTCTGCGGACCAGGACGACGAGGACGAGGACGAAGCCCTTTATAACAGCCAGTTCGCCAATTGCCGCTACCAGGATCCACTGGGCCGCTCGAGTAGCGCCAACGCACGTCTCTACGCAGGCCTCACCAGCCCCATTTCCCCTCTGAGTCCTCTGACGCCCAAATACGGCAGCTTCATCAGTCGGGATAACTCGCTCACGGGCATTAATGAGTTTGCTTCCTCCTTAGGCACCTCCTACATAGACAGAGTATTGATTGAATGCTACACCGGACAGCAGACTCCATTAGAACCCGAGGCGGTGGCTCCGCCTCTTCCTCCCGGGGACACGCCCCCTCCTCCTCAAAGTCAAACGCCTGCTGCAAAGGAAGTTGCACAGCAAAACAAACTCTCGCAGCCTAATGGAGAGCTGTTGGCAACTGAAGTGCTGCAAGCTAATGAGCAAAAGCAAGCCACTGAACCTGCTGACCAGCCTAATGAGGGCCAACAGGCTGCGTCAGGGTCACAGCGAGGCAGTACCTCAGGGATACTGAAGCGCCCCCAGAGCCTGGCCTTAATGGAGGACCCGCTGATTGCTCCGAGCGGTGGTTTGGACAGCGGTCGTAGACGCACTGTCACCTTCAGTCAACAGGTCAGTTTGTACTGCAGGTTTGTCTATGTGCATAAATACACATAATTGCCTGAGTATTACTATCTGAATCAAGTATTATTTACACACTCCTTATAATATTTATTAATATTTTGAATTAGCTTTTATTTTTAGACAGTTTATGTGCTTTTGTCCTTTGTATTATTTTAAAATGTCTGTTCAGTTTTAATTTATTGCACTTGAACTTAATATTAGTTAGTTGCCAAGTCAATAATTTTTGTTTTCATTTATTAATTATTTTTGATTGTTTTAATTTTCCTGTAAAAGTATATTACTCCCAAATCCATTTAATATTTTACCATATTTATATCAATTAACTGAAAATCAGTGTTATTTTAAGTATTATCGTAAGAGTATTTATTAATATTTTTGAATTAGTTTTTATTTTTGTATTTTCAGATTAATTTTAGTTTCAGTTTACGTCATTTTGTTATGTGCCTTTGTCACATTTTTCTACATTTTTTAAATGTCTATTTAGATTTATTTATTTTTATTTCAGTTTTAACTTTAATAACTTTATTACTTCAATATTTTTATTTCAGTTAGCTGTGAAGACAATTCTCTTCTCTTCTCTCTGTACGCTGCCTTACTCTCTGCTCTGTGAATACTACCAGAGCCCGCAGGTGAGATCACACACTAACTAGATGTCAAAATAAAATCATGTTTATGGGAACGCACTTATAATGGAAGTCTATGGGGCACAGTATCGGTAGAAACATTAATATACTCACTATTTCAAAAGAATATCATCCAAATGAAACTTTATTTGTGAACCCAGCTAAAAGGGAATGTTTTCAGAATGTTCTGGCAAGGTTCTCTCAAAGTTATGAACAAACGTTATATTAGTAACGTTATTTAAATGTTTGTTTAAAGTTGTATGGTTTTTAATAATGCTCTCAAAATGTTAGCACAAAGACATGCAAAACATATAAATACATGTTTAACATTATAAAAACATTTATACATTGTTCATGGAATGTATTATTTGAACCTTGAACTAGCATTTTTTAAATGTAACAACTTGTTTCAAAAGAAACATTCAAATTGATGAAATAGAATGTTTCCTTAACGTTCGCATAGCCAAAAAAAAGTTTTTTAAATATTAAAAAAACAGAAGTTTTAAATGTGAAAAGAGAACATTTTAGAAATAACATTTTCATAACTTAATGGGAACATTAGCGAAATGTTCTTGGAACATATTTTTGTTAGCTGGGAAAATGAAACTAGTAACAAAATTGCTAACCTTGTTTGTGCAAAATTATATCGATTTTTTAAATTCCTTCCACAACTATAGTGAACATAGTAACTTTTACACAATACAACAGAAATAGGGATATTGAAAATATAAGGATATACTGTATATTTGCAATATTGTTGTTGGCAACACATAAAAAGATTTTATACAACCTTTCACCTCAAACAGCATATAAAGTAATTGTATGTTATAATTAACAAAAATATAAGTGCCTGATTTCTGTTTTTAAAAACCCTCTGTAATATTTTGCCTCATAGGCGTCCATTGCATGTGCGATACAATAAAGCAATAAATTATTGTCAGTGTTTTTCGACCTCATGTACTACATTTTTTATCTTTTTGGCTGCAATTAAATCTAAAACTATATATATATATATATATATATATATAATCAAAGCTGAAATAAAATAAAAAATATATAAATATTAAATGAAACATTTGAATTTAAATGTAAATTAGAAATGTTACCTTGGCAACTAACTAAAATAAGTTGACAGTACTAAAATGACTAAAACTAAAATAAAAATAAAGCTAAATAGAAATATATATATAAAAACAAATATTAAATGACAAAAACAAAAATACAGAAACTAAAAATTAAAAATGGAAACTGAACTGTGTAACTGAATTTTTGATTGATCTCAGTTAGGGTGACAATAGCTTTGTCTTTTTCACTGAAATGTCCTGGCTGATCTAAATTGCCTAAAACACCTGGGTTTGGCTTTGTTTTTTTACTGACGGTCCTTATACATTATATGTATGTGCATTTGCAGTGTTTTGACTGTTCTCTGTAGATCCCACCGTCACACACGCAATGATTGGTCGATTATGTACATTGCCTGCACGCTATTGGTCAAACTACTTTTCAGTGATTACTTTCAGCAAGTATGAAACCAATAGGAACATTAGGAAAACCAAGACATTTTAGGCGATTTAGAAATCCTACCCAGGACATGTCTGTGAGAAAGAGGACGTACAGTCACCCTTTGTCAATGTCCACATGTTGTTCCTGCAGTTCTGCGGCTCATCAGAGGACGGGACCAGGCGTGGTATGGGGGTGGACATCTCCCTGCTCAGCTGCCAGTACTTCCTGGCACAGATCCTGGTTTCGGTGGCGATGGGCCCTCTGACATCGCTGGTGGGTGGGGCCCAGGGCGTGATGTACTTTGCGAGTCTGATGTCATTTGTGGGGTGCCTGTACTCCTCACTGTGTGTGGTGTACCATCTGCCACCACCCGAGGGTGAGCCTCCCCAGAGTGAGACGCAGCCACTGCTGGTGCACATTTAGACCTGGTCTCTCACACACCGGGTCCAAAATTAACACTCCAGAAGCAGCAGACCGGTAACTTTTTGCAACATGAATTAAACTATAATGCAAAACGATAAAGCTCTTTGATATCTGGGAATCAAAGAAAAGAAATCCAAACACTTCAATGAATAAAAGATCAATGACTGCCGTCCATCTTCAAACAATTTTTTCTCTAGTGGAAAACTTCATCAGATGTTTATATGAAACCTTTTTTTCTTTTATTGACAGAACTTCACTATGTCTGGACAAATTTGACCCCCACATTTTTTGAGCAGAATCATGTTTTTGTAACAGATTTTGTAGGATACAAATATACGAAACATAAACAGTTAAATAATTCCTTTTTCAAAAGTACAAAAAATATGCATACATTGGGGCCCATCATTCTGGGACTAGATTAAAATCAGATTTATTTCACGTAAAACAAGAAAACAGAAAGATATATAAGTACTGTCAAACGATTACCCGCGATTAATAAAAGTTTTTTGTTTACATAATATTTGTGACCCCGGACCACAAAACCAGTCATAAGGGTCAATTTTTTTAAATTGAGATTTATACATCTGTAAGCTGAATAAATAAGCTTTCCATTGATGTATGGTTTGTTAGGATAGGACAATATTTCACTGTGTATATTATGTATATATAAATACACACACATACATGCATATATTTCAGAAAAATATTTTGTTTATATATTAAATAGATGTATATATAATATAAATTATATTAATATAAATATATACATGTAAATATTTTCAAAAATATATACTGTATGTGTGTGTATTTGTATGTACATAATAAATACACACACAGCACACATATATTATGTAAACAAAAACTTTTGTTTTGGATGCAATTAATCGCAATTAATCGAGTAATAATAATATTGTTACACATAAATAAAATGTTGAAAAAATATTTCACATTCTACACTATTTTTAGGTGTAAATACTTTACATAATTGTATTACAGTAAATTGTCAGCTTCATAACAGGCAAAGTAAACAAACGAAATACTTTGTCATTAATCATTTTTGATGGTTTCAATTAAACAAGATGCCAAATTATAGTGACTTCTGGACCCCCGTGTATACTCAATTTACCAGCTGTTGTCAGACATGGTAAAAGTTAATTTTGGACCCCATACACACACAACAAACAGCTCAGACTCCTGCGCTTGCTTCAGATACACCTTCCTCACCTTACGCCACACGCGCGCAGTACTGGAGATGTGAGAGAGGGTAAAAGAGCTGCGATTTTGACTATGCATCTCACTCGGATTTCTAACTAAAGCATGCTGCAACAGCGACTGCATGACTGCAGGCTTGTGTGGTGCGTGTGTGTGTGAGAGAAAGCCTGTTTGTGTTCATGTGATGCCTGACTACTTTCATCTGGCTTGTACATAATGTGAAATGTTTAGGGTTTTATTTTTTTTACTGTCGATTCCTCACGAAGGACAAAGCCAAAACTGTTTATAGCTTGCTGTCATAACTGGCAAAGACAAACCAAATACTGAGTTTACCAAGTAAATATAAAAAATAAAAATCTGACTCCGATTATGCAAATAATGTAATTATTTTTGTTGTTTTAAATTTTGTTGTTTAAAACTAATACCGACTTCTGGACCCTAGTGTACACTAAATTTACCAGCTGACATGGTAAAAGTTCATTTTGGACCCCGTACACACTCAACCAAACAGCTCAGACTCCTTGCGCTTGCTTCAGATACACCTTCCTCACTTTACGCCACACGTACGCAGTACTGGAGATGTGAGAGAGGGTAAAAGAGCTGTGATTTTGACTATGCATCTCACTCAGATTTCTAAACATAAGCATGCTGCAACAGTGACTGCATGACGGCAAGCTTGTGTAGTGTGTGTGTGTGTGTGTGTGAGAGAGAGAGAGAGAGAGCGTTTGAGTACATGTGATGCCTGACTACTTTCATCTGGCTTGTACATAATGTGAAATGTTTAGGGTTTTATTTTTTTTACTGTCGATTCCTCACGAAGGACAAAGCCAAAACTGTTTATAGCTCCCTGAACTCTCTTTATGTGGTTTCTGTTCAGCTAACTGTTAAAGTTCATTGCTTTTAATAAACGTAAACCCCTCTCACATATCCAAAGCAAATGTATCCTGTCCACATGTCAATGAACTGTTTGAAGATGTCACCTGTCGGTTTGTTTGCATGTAAAGCCTTACTGATGCCTTACTGTAGGCCTCTGTTTCGAACTGCACCACAGTAAAACAGAGAACGTGTGTGTGTGTGTGTGTGTGTGTGTGTGTCTATTGGCTCTTCGGTTTGCATATAGCATTTTTTAAAGTGATCAGGCTCATCATTTGAATACTAGCTAGCTAGCTACTACACACATCCTTAAGAGTACCAATATTTCTGTCGCATGTTTGCCATACTGTAACATGGCTTGACACTGGTGGACGCTCCGATGACATATTTGTAAGAAAAACATAAATGGCGTATTTATGGTTCCCCTACTGAGCCATGTCATGGAACGCACGCTCTCATGCCTGCTTCCCTGTGGTCTGGCGTGATCGTTGTAATGACAGTCGTTCTTGTCATTATCAGGCAGAGCGGACGTTGAGGCTGGGGTGTGAGTGATCGCAATACGGAAACAGGCCCCGTGCGGAAGAACGAGCCGAATGTATTGTTCGGTGACTACAACAAATCTGGACAACCGATATGGACTCTCCACCAGAGCGCTCACAATTGTGTGTTTGTATTGCTAAGCATCTTTTTTATTTATTTTTTTCGCTTTGCAATACATGCAGCACATCAAACCTTTAAAAACTCCAGGTAGCAAGCCATTCACGAACTGGTTGAGACGAAATTCATAATCACATTTCTTTCCTCAGTCATGTGTAATCTACACGAGCATGTACAGATATCTTCCACTAAGGAAACTGATGTAAGTTGCATTGTACAGGTTAATGCTCTGCGAATTAAACAGTTGTCACAGGACGAAGGTTTTCTGCTGCAGGTGTTCTGATTTAAACACGCACAAAATAAGACTTGTAGTTTCTAGTAAATACACTTTCCATCAGTGTGGAAAGTTTAACCAGCAGGGGGCGCTGTAGGATCTCAAATGGAGGTCAAACTGAACCTATTAAAGGAATAGTTCAACCAGAAATGAAAATTTGGTAGAATTTTTACTCAGGCCATCCAAGATATAGTTGAGTTTGTTTCTTCATCAGAACAGATTTGGAGAAATGTAGCATTACATCACTTGCTCACCAGTGGATGCTCTGCAGTGAATGGGTGCCGTCAAACAGCTGATAAAAACATCACAATAATCCACACCACTCCAGTACATCAGTTAACGTCTTGTGAAACCAAAAGCTGCATATTTATAAGAAACCGATCCATCATTAAGGCATTTTAACTTTAAGCCATCACTTCAAGTCCACAATCCAAATAACACTTCCTCCAAAAAAAAAAAGTGTCCCCCTGTTGGCCTCTCACATCAAAATTCACTAAACGTATTTGTTTTGAACGGTTTGGCTTGTAAACGGTGCTTGATCTGTGCATATCTCCCTCCTGATTTAGACAAGATTACTTTTTCACTGGAGAATTAAATATTATAGAAGACTCGTATTTTAGCCGGAAGCAACAGTTTGAAGTTAAAGATGTCTTTATTTAGTTCTCATAAACAAGACATTAATTGATAGGCTGGAGTCATGTGGATTATTGTGATGTTTTTATCAGCTGTTTGGACTCTCATTCTGACGGCATCCATTCACTGCAGAGGATCCACTGGTGAGCAAGTGATGTAATGCTACATTTCTCCAAATCTGTTCCGATCAAGAAACAATCTCATCTACATCTTGGATGGCTTGAGAGGGAGTAAAACGTTTAGCAACTTTCCATTTTTGGGTGAACTATTCCTTTACCCTTTTTGCAAGAAGCTACTTTTACTTTTTACGCAAGTTTGAGCTCCAGTTAAGGTCAGTCCTCTTGCACATACTTGGTGCATGTCCAATCTAGTTTCAAACAGCTTTAAAAAAATAATAAATAAAAAAAAAAAAGTTTTGCAACCCCCAACACAACGTTAAGAAAAGACCCAAGAGGCACTGGTTTTAAAAAGACAAGACTGTTTTTTTTTTATTTATAATCCTGAACCAAACTATACAAAGCAGTGGTCAAAAAGCAACCAAAACACACACACAAAAAAAGTTTTGCTTGAAGGACTGAAAGAACACCAGTTACCAGCATACAGTTCTGTTATAGATTGTTTTTGTTTTTTTTCATTCTGCACTTCCCATATAAAACAAAACCCCCAAAACTGTACATAAGGATAGAAAGATACAATCCTTTTAAATGCATATGGAACAAAAGACCTTCAAGATTTAAAAAGGGGTTAATTAACATGTTAAGAGGGCAGGCGATGTGTTGACAAAAGTAACCCCTCTCATTCATATGAGCCATCTGTTATGTTAACTGATCTGCCAAAGCGAGGGATTAACTTCTAGCAGCACAACCAGGTTAAACATTGTCTATTAGCCCCTGCTTAAAACTCATCTTTGGTCTTTAGTGGATCAGAAAAATGTCACCCACGAAAATGCCAGAACCTTAGGCTTTCAGTTGCTTGTGTGTACATCTGCTGGTCAAATAACAGAGTAGAATGTGTGCTTGTTAAACGTTTGCTAAAGTAAACATTGTTTCTTTTAATACAGGGTCCTAATGTTGGTCCTACACCAATAAATAAGGTCTTACAAAAGGGGACAGGGTCATGATGTTATGGGCCTCAATAAAGCAATAAAAAGATCTTGTAGCGGCGAAAAGAAGGACTGTGAAATATACAGGAAAGCACAAACTCTACTAGGTCAAACTGACCATACAGACAGAGCTACTGAAGGGCGGCGAGAGCTTTAGGCTTGGACTTCAGCCTCTGTGGAGTCGCCGTTCTCTTCTGTCTTCTGTTTCTTTGTTTCGACTGCCTCCTGAAAGCAGACGAGCCAAGATTAGATGAGGTAAAGATGACGGAAATGTTGTGAAATGCATCTGAAACCTGAACCCACCTCCTCCTCAGCTGGACGTTTCACAGGTTGCCCATCTGCCTCTTCTTCAGCGCCGTTCTCCTCCTCCTCTGCTTCTCCGGCTGTTAAAAGCCAAACGGATTTGTCAATA